TAGAGAATAGGACAGACAGCAGAATACATCAGACACTAGAAAGGCAATATGTCAATCAATGGAAGGGTAACTGATGTGATACAGCAATCTGTATACGGGATAAAATTGGGAGTTCATAACTCATTTGAATCAAACTGTGAAATATGATGTATGAGGAACTATGTAATGTTTTGAACGACCAACAATAAAAAAAATAAAAAAATTAAAAAAAAAAAGAAATATATGTAAATAGATAAAAGTACAAAAGCTCAGGGTAAAGCAGTGGTGAGGATTCAGAACCTGTCTGTGTAGCATTCTATTTCCTTCTTTCAAATATGGTTTCTGRAGCTGTGTATGAAACCCCAGAACTACACACAGATTGAAAACCACTGGACTGGAAAAATTTAGGGCATTGGAGTAGGATTATATAAACTAGGGGAGGAGTGAGACAAATACCATGACAGCTATTTCTGAGCATTTTGCTGGGAAGAAAATGGAATTGTATAGACATCCCTTGTCATGGCAGGGCAGCCAAGGGGCACATAACAGAGAAGAGGCTTTCCACAGCCTGCCTGAGGCAGATGGACTGACCAACTGACCTCTCAAATCTTACCTGCAAGCCTCCTTATCCCTGTCTTTAGCTGGGCAAGACAGATTTACTTGAGTATGTTTTGATCTTTCTTCCCTGTCCTGCTTCCTCCCTCTCCTATATCAGCTGTGGCCTCTCCTGAGCTCACAGGTCTTGAACTTGGAGCCATTTCTGCTTTGGCTTCCCAGGGGATGGGATCCTGAGGGTTCTGGCTACCTGATCAACACATGGCTCCCCACCTCCCTTGAAGACAAGCCCACAGACCCACCTATGCACACCACGTCCATGAAGCCATACATCCCGTAGCAGATCTGGAAGAGGAGGTCTTGGCGCTGCCATTTTGCTGAGGGACTGAAGGTCGACCAGATGAGCCAAGAGATACTGGCGATGAGGAAGAGGGAACCCAAGATGGCGGCCGCAATCTGAACCTTCTCGATGACTGTCAGAGAGATAGCCTGCCACTGGGAAGGAGAGAGTGGCAGGTTAGCTGTTGCTTGGATGCCCTTACCCATTTTAATCCTTCTTCCATCTTCTGCTCTAACAGCTCACCTCTGATATTGGATTTAAATTAGAGCTTCTCAACTTGTACTACAATGAATATTTTTGCAATTTTACATTGTACTTTTGATGCAGAAGAAAACCACATCCCATGAAATGATCACAAATTTTGTAAGGAGAGAGTTCTGGGCAGGCATAGCTAAGAAGAAGATCCTTATATATTTGATTATTAAACAGACAGAGAAATGGGAAGGAGAAAAAGAAAATAGACTAAGTGTGGGTGGTGATTCAGGGCCTCAGAATCTTCTTTTCAGAGCAACACAGTTTATTTTCCCACAAATAGGTTTTGAAAGGGAGCAGGTCTCTCTCCTGCCTGTTTTGTTTCTACAACACCATCCTGCATGCCATTTAATATACACGCTAGAGATTACCAATTCAATAGGTAAGGAGAAAACAGGATATGGGGGAGAAATAAGAAAAATAGTTTATAATTTACTGAATGTATATTAATACTGATATTTCTTTTTCTTTTACAGAAAAAGTACTGTACTTATAGCAGTACTGATGGATGAATTGAAGGGTGTGGGTGAGTTTCAGCTTTGGAATTTTATTATTCCACAGCAGGTCCAGGGAGTACTTGCTTAAATAAGCCAAGAGTTGGATTTCAGTTTGGGGCTTATTTATTTATGTTGTCACTCAACGACTATGTGTTAAGTAACTTCCATGTGTCTGGCCACTGTTCTAGGTGCCAGAGATAAAGTATTAGGCAAAAACAAGGTTACACCCCATCCCACCCAATGAAGCTCACAGTCTAGGAAGCATAGACAGCCCTATGAATTTACAACTATGATTCATCTCGGGTAAAAAAGCAAGTACATGGTATTGGGAAAGCCTGTGATAGGGCATTTGGCTTCCCATAGGATGATGCTTGAACTGAGTAGGAGTTTACTAGGCAAATAGAGGAAGAAAGAATATCCCAAGCAGAGGAAAGAGCATRTGCAAAGGCCCTGTTCAGAAGAAAGCACAATACGTAGGAAAACCTGGATGGAGATCAGAGTGAATGGAGGGGAGGAAGCAAGAGACTGAGGTGAGACAATGGCGAAAGGGAAGACCATGCAGAGTCTTGTAAAATGTGTACAGAACTAGGACTTTGCCTAAGAGTACATGTAATGCATGAATGGTTTTTAGGTATAGCTGACAGGATCAGATTTGGGAAGGTGGAGGCAAGGAGATCTCCTGATTAGAGGGGTATGTATAGTGCCCTACTGGGAATACCCCCAGGATGCATTGCCATCTGAGAAAGAGGACAGGCCCAGCTCCTGTGAACAGGGAGCCCTCACCTTGCCTTCAACGACCTGGAACAGGCACTGGCCAGTGGCCTCCTGAGAAATCGTAACCATTGGGAAACATTGAACTTGCTAGTCTAAATGTAGGACATTGGCCTTGACCTTTAATGATAGAGATAGCATCCCATTACAGGGAATTGGGCCTTTAAACTTTCCACTGCATCTCCCAGCCTAGGGTTACACAAAACAAAGAAGATTTCCAGAAGATGGGCCTATCACATAGACTTCTCTTGTGAACAACAAATGCTTTCCCCAGGGTCTGCCCCACTGCCTAGAGGGAGAGCTCCTGAGTGAGCATTTCCTGTTTACCATTGAGGCATCATTAAACCTCAACTTGTTCTATTCCTCTAGACTTCAAGAGCCCCAAATATAGAGGCAAAAAAAATCTTCCTCATCCCTGACCTCTTCTACCACCCCTAAGTCACCTGCAGAACCTAGGAGCCTAACAGGGCTCCTGACCTCAGTGTGAAGCATGATGAAGGAACAGATTGGGGTGCTATGGGTAAGAACTCTCCTCCTATGCCTTCCATGTGACACCCCACAGAGACGTGGGGGAAGCCACTCCAAGGAGAGAGCTCTGAAATCTCAAAGGAAGGCTGGGAGGGGGAGAGGGTATCAGTGGTACGGGCTCTGCTTCACCAGACACCTGCAACTTTGAAACCTCTGTCCAAAGATTCTGACCCTGATATCATGAGTCTTCTCCATCTCCATTCCTGCCCTGCTGCACAAGTGAATAGAGAGACCAAGGGCTAGAGCAGGAAGACCGTATATATAACAGATAGGGGTGTGGAGTAGGGGTCAGATGACCTGATTCTAGCTGAGCTCTGTTCAGACTTGCTGAGTGTGAGTGAGAAGCCAATAAGTCATGAAGACTATCAATTTTCTTTCTATAAAAATAGAAATAATTGGTCCTTCTTGCTTTCTAGAGTATCGTGAGGGTTAAACGAAAAAACTGTCAAGCCAGTGTATTGTTTCAGCAAAAACAGATAAGCCTGTTAAGACAGTTGTAGTCCTCAGGGTGCATGGGCACTCTGGGGACAGGTTAAGAGCCTGAGCCCAGGAGTATCTTCAGATAGCAACCCTGCTCTACCACTTAATTACTATGCAAACTTGGGAAGACCATCAAATCCCTCTGTGCCTCCATTGTCTCATCTGTAAATTGGGAATAACAGTACCCACTTCACTGGGTTGTTTTCAGGATTGAATTAGGCAATATATATGAATATTTAGAACACTGACTAGCACCTAATAAGCACTAACTACATGTTAATTAATATACTATAGTCCCCCCCTTATCCAAGGGGAGTACAATCTGAGACCTCCAGTGGATATCTGAAACCTCAGCAGGTACTGAATTCTATATACAAGCACTATGTGTGATATCACAACAGTTGTTCTGATGACTGAGGCAGTTACTAAGTAACTAACAGGTAGGTAACATATTCAGTGTAAATACTCTGGACAAAGGGATGCTTCATGTCCCAGGCAGGATGGAGCAGGACAGCATGAGATTTCATCATGCTACTCAGAATGGGATGCAATTTAAAACTTATGAATTATTTATTTCTGGAATTTTCCATTTAAAATTTTTGGACTGCAGTTGGCCATGGTTAACTGAAACCACAGAAAGGAAAATCATGGAGAAGGGAGGTCTGCTATAATTGCAGTTTAGGTGTAGCAGCCATGGAGACTTGAGACCCACAAGGTATGCTGTGACTCCTTTCCTATGGATAATCTGGCTGGAAACATTGCTTTCAGAGAGACAGTCACTGAGGTACTGCTGCATGGTGAATAGTGGTGCTATTTCCTATAGCTTTGTATGTGGCACGGACCAGGAGCTGAGAGACCCAGGAGACCTAGAAGGAACATGACCCTCAGAGAGCAGACCCTTTGCTCTGCTTGCTTGTGATCAGAGCTGCCAGCCCCATCCTGTTCTCCAGATGATCCTGCCAGTTTGTGGGTGCAGAGGTTGTCCACTGAGGCTGAGGAGGCAGCGGTCTCATATGTGGATAGGCCAGAGGAGACCAGGTCACATAAGTGGGACAGTTTGGGCTACAACCACACAACACAACTTCCAGTCCAACTACTTCTTCTGCGAAAGGGAAACAGCATTTACTGAGCACACACCAATGCTAAGAACCAGCAGAACCAGCAGAACCAGAGGGGTCATCAAGGTCCAGAAACTCACAACTGAAGGCAGGGTAGTAACTTGAGAATGGATTAATAGGCCATTACTGCCAATGCTTCCACTTGCTTATCGGACTTCCATGATGAGAATAAGCTGTTCTTTTTCACCCTTAGGAAAAGGCTATTCCTGAATGGCTTTTCATTATATGAGCTAGGGGTGGAGCCAAGAGGGGGGTACTTTGTGCTGGGCTGATGAACTTGGGATCTGACCTTTCTTGAGGCTTGAGTCAGCTGCAAAGGAAGGGGTGGTTAATGCACTCAGACCTCCGCCAGCACCCAGAGGACGTGGAATCAGCTGTCTTGTGACACTGCTATTTTAAGACACTTCAAGATTTTGAAGCAAATGGCTGAAGATGGGAGCAGTGGCAGGGAGGGGCACCTCTCATTCTGACCCTGTGGCTCACCATTAAGAGCTGAGGTGCCTGAGACTTTTAATGCCACCTTCCAGAAACACCCCACCACAGTGGGGTTCTCTTAGAAAGAAGGAAAGGGGGGAGATGCTGGAAAGACACCCACCCTGCTACATGCACATATGATATTCTCTCTCTCTCTCTCTCTCTCTCTCTGTGTGTGTGTGTGTGTGTGTGTGTGTGTGTGTGTATGTATGTGTGTCTTTCTCATTCATTCCTGGGAGTACCTCATGGACAACTCTACAGGGTTTAAAATAAAAAGCCCTGGACATTTCAGGGGTTCAAACTATGCCTCATGCAAAGGCCCCACCCCACCATCACTGCTGAACCCCAGCTCTCAGGGCTCTCTCTCTCTGCCCCCTCAGAGAGGAGGAGGAGGAATCTGTGCCTGGAGACCAAAGTCCCCATCCTCACTGTCATGCTGGCTAATTGATTATGTGGCAGCTTAATTGGCTGATCCTGCATATGTGGAGGTATTTCCAGAAGCAAAAGAGCTCTCTATGTGTGTGTGCACCCTGCAGGGAGAGTTGCTTGATTGGGGGGATTGGCAAGGGTGGCGTAGGGCCTGCTACCTCCTCGGGAGAAGATGAATGCATCAGGGCAGGGCAGGAGGGGAGGCAATGGGCAGGGGGGCCCTGAGTTCTGCTGGAATCCATTTGGCAGGTGTGACCCAGTTCGGGCCCTGCCTACCCTCTCCTCTCCTGGTGGCCTTTTCCTACTCTGTCCCTTTCTCTTTCTTCCTTATTTCCCCTCTCTTCTCTGCCTCCCTCTCTTGTCTCCTCTCCATTTTTCTCTTTGTTCCTTGTCACAGGAAGTGTGATTTGAGCCAGCTACGACAGCATCACCCAATAACTTGTAAGAAATGCAGATTCTCAGGCCCTGCCTCAGACCTACTGAATCTTAGTTGGCATTTTGACAAAATTCCAGTTACATTAAAGTTTGAAAAGGGCTGCTGAGTTTTCTTGCTGCTATTTCTTCTTTTCCAGCCCTGGACTTAACTCGGCCCTTCTTGCCCTTCCCACCCTGTCTTTTCCCCATGTCTTGCTCTCTTCTGCCTTTTAGCCTTTCTTCACTTCCTTCCTTGTTTCCCCTCCCTCCCTTTTTTATTTCTCTCTTTCTTCCTATCTCTTTCCTTCTTGACTTCCTTCTTCCTTTCTTTCCCTATTCACTTTTTTTTTTTTTTTTTTTTGTACCAGGGATTGAACCCAGGATCATTTAACACTGAACCACATCCCCAGCCCTTTCTATGTTTTATTTTGAGACAGGGTCTCCATAAGTTGCTTAGGACCTCACTGAGTTGCTGAGCTGGCTCTGAACTCCTGTTCCTCCACCCTCAGCTTCCCAAGCGGCTGGGATTACAGGTGTGCACCACTGGACTTAGCTCACCATTCACTCTTCAATTCACCCACTGTCTGTCTTATTCTCTCTCTCCCATCAGATTCTCCTGGCTCCTTTCCTTCTACATCTATTTCCCTCTTGCCCCATCCCTTCCTCTTATTGCTGATGCTTAAGAGAAAAAAATTTTTAAATCTTTTATTACCTCCTGCTGGCAGGCCTCCCCTGAGCTCCAAGCTGCTCCAGGAAGCAGCCAGGGTGGAGGCCCCAGGTTCCAGTGCCCTCCCCACTCCGCCCCAGGCCCCAGGCTCACCTGTAGAGGGTTCTTTGTGCTTATGGCAATGACGTGGTACTTGTAGTAGCACAGCTCACAGCTCCAGCAGCCCCGCTCGCTGATCCATTTGATGAGGCACGGCTGGTGCGTGCACTTGACTGAGCCATCGCAGCGGCACGGGCTCAACAGCTCCCCCTGCAGGGAGAGAGGCAGAGGGTGGTCAGGCCTGAGCTTGAGTCTGGGGGAGAGATGGGTGGATGGACCTGGAACACTGGTTTGAGCCACCCAGGTAGGTCAGACCAGGCCACCACGACCAGACCACAGGCTTTATCTGGAGTAACTAGACTCCACAGAGGAGGCCCAAGCACCAGCATCCCCACCATGGAGGCCTAACAGCTTCAGTCAGCTCCACTGCCAGTTCTGAGACCCTGTCCCCAATTGGTAAGAATTCTTGTACTGCCCAAGTCTTAGATTGCTATGAACATGAGTGGGTTAGTTTCTGTGGGAGCCTCTGCAGTCTAAAAGGGGTGTCAGGCTCCTTGAATTTCCCTTTCAAAGCCTAGTCCAGGGTCTTGGATTCAAATGCCCTCCAGGCCAGAAAGGCAACAGAAGTGAAGGAAGACAGCTGGTGTGAATTGGAGGGCTCAGGTCTAAGTTTGAAGGACAACTGTCATCAACTCCAGCCAGCTGAAGAAGTGCAGTCTTGTGGGAATCTTGTGTGTGCAAATGTGTGTGTGTGTGTGTAGGATATTGAACCCAGGGCCTCATGTATACTAGTGAAGAACTCTACCACTGATCTGCACCCTCATCCCTTCAGGGAATCTTTATGTAAAACCTCTCAATAGTCTAATGTTAACAAGGATGCAGGTTTTTAAAACATGTTGTGAGGGTCATTTTGCCTGAATATAGAGTCTTGTGTTGAGCATTTGCATTCTCCTGAGGCCAATGCATAGAAACCTAGGTTCTTCAATGAAGTCTCTCAAGTAAGAAAAATATGGGATAGGCCTGCATCCTGGGAACCCTGGGAACCTCAGAGGTTGAGCCAGTGCCCTTGCTGAGGGCTGAATCACTCCAGTCAGTCTTGGCAAAAATGGCAAAAGCCCAGCTGGAGGGCACAGGAAGCAGGGACGCAAAGGACCTAGACAAGCTAGATGGTGTCCGGATTTGGAACCCTTATGAGTGGGCCGGAGAGTTGGGCTCATTCTTCAGAGCTCCCTGTGATATCTCAGATGGCCATAACTGAAGCCTGTGGCTCTATACCACCTGATGTGACCTTAAAGGGTCTCCGTGAGCCTCAATGCTCCTTTTCTCTCCCCTCCTTCTTTTGATCTGGCTTCCTTTGTCTGTCCTCATTCTCCCTCCTAGCTCAGGGTCCACCATGTTTGATCACTAAATCCCCATCCTCCTAGCTCCTCCATTTACCTTCCCAGAAACATTAGCAGTTGGGGCTACCAACTCCCCAACCTTGCCCATGGCCTCCTCCTCCTTTGGTCTTCATGCCTCCACCCCCAGTTTATTTATTTTAGATCCAGCTAAAATAAATGCCTCACTCCTATCAAAGGATCTCTGAGAAGCTGTGTACAACCAATCCGTAAACCTCAGCTGGTGTGTTTGAGATATGGCTACTTGAGCCACATCCCTTCAAATGTGGAAATTTCGCCATTCGTGCAACTACATCTTGTTCCCAGTAATGAACAAGTAAGTCCAGGATCTCCTGGTCTCCAAGTTTTAGATTTCCATTTGCATATATTTAATCATGTTCTTTGCTGCAGACTGTAGAACCAGCCATTTCCTTCCAAAATTTCTGGAATCATCTTTCCCTTCCACCTCCTGTCACTCAAAACCCTATCCTTGGCCTGGATGAGAGCTAAAAAAGTCCTTTTCTACATGGTCTACCTGTCAAACTGCTACTCTGTCATCAAGGTGATTCTAATGCTACCTCTTATAGGGAGTCATTCCTGACCTCTCTAGGTTGAGTTAGTACTTTGATCTTTTATTTTTAAATGCTATTGTATTTTTTTATATCTTTTTTTTTTAATGTGGTGCTGAGGAAGGAACTCGTACTTCACACATGCTAGGTAAGGGCTCTACCACTGAGCTACAACCATAGCCAGTACTTTGATCTTTAAGTGTCATATGCATATCTTTAAGTGACTTTGGCATATCCCTGTTAGAGTACTTAGCACATAACTATATGTGTCTGCATATACCTCTCTATGCACTAAATGACTCAGGGAGGAAGGAGTAATGTGTACATCTTTGTACTTGTTTCCCCTGGTACCAAGCTCTACACCAGAAGGTCCTCAACAGCTTTTTGTGGTTTGAGTAAATGAAAAAATAAATCAGTGCCTTCTCAGGTTTTCTGCACTTCCCACTTTGTGAGAATGGGAACCATGTTCATCTTACGCCTTTTTCAGTGCCTTGACACTCCCTGTATACATGTATAATGAATGAATTTGATGGCAGAAATGTTCAGGTGTTCARCTCCATGGAACTCTCCCTAGTTCCATACTCTGCTCCTCCAATGTTGACAGGCTCCCTTTTGCTGTGGCTCTAGGCCCTTCCCATACCCCCTGTCATGGCACTCCCTCATTTGTGTTTAGGTCACTACACTGTGACTCCCTCACAGGGACAATATTTTATTCATGTCTGCCTTCCTTGCACCTAGTGCAGTGCCTGGTACAGTGAGACCCTCAGTACAACTTTGACAGCTGAACATATGCATATCTGTCTGATGACCAAGAGGCAACCTCTAGATCCCAGTGGGCAACTATAGTGTCTGGGGGAAGAAAGGCAGGAGATACCCTCATAGCTGGCCAGTCTTGATCCCTACTGGGGCCTAACAGTCCTTGGTATGGAGTGGCTGTTCTATGGCTCTGAGAATGAAATACGAGGGAGGTAGTGGGGGAGGTGCTGGAGGAGGGGCGAAAGCCCTCGTTATTCATGGCTGCATTTCCTAGGCTCATTAATTCTAACAGGATGAGCTGGGTTTGATTAATCGGGTTGTTAAACAGCCATGTCAAATTGCCGATCAGGTAAAAGACATTACTTCCGGTCCCTGGCAACGGTGCCAAGCGACAGTGAAGTCTACGCTCATTGCTTACCAAGTAGGAAAAGCCAGGAAGGCCTGCTGGCTGGGCACAACTGAAAACCCAACCTGGGCTCCCCATCTTGGCTCTGGCTGAGGAACATCAGATACCTACCTGAAGAAGGAGGAAGCACGACCTGGCCTGGTCCCACTGTCTGGCTAAAGGCCCAAGAGCCCAGGGCTGCACTGCTTCCACTGAAGTGATTTGTTCATTCTCCCACCCCCAACTTTCCTTTGGGCTAGACAATCCAGAAGGCAAAATGGGGACTTGCTTCTGGCACTACAGATATTAAAAAGCATCTGTGGCCAGACCACCCTAAACATGCTTGATCTCATCAGATATTAAAAAAGCAAGAATGCCAAAACTGTTAGAAAAAGTTTAGATTTAATGAAAAATGTGATCCAGGATTTTGGATGTATACAGGAAGTAAAGGAAAGAATGTACTTTAACCTTGGCATTCATACAAGTTTTATACTTTTTGTTTAGTATGTTTTTATGTATATTTGGGATATATAATATTTTTAGCACGTAGGGCTTCTAAAGGGCCTGGTCTGGTGGTCAGATGTATGTCTTCCAGAATAATGGAAGAGGAAATGCCTGGCAGCCCCGTGGAGTCAAGGTAGACTTAATGCAGACGTTTCTACAGTAAACTCCATTAAAAGCCAAGCTTAAAAAATCTCAAGTCAAGTCGCAGAGCTAGCTGATGTGTAGACAGAATGGCAGCCAGGCCCTTCTGACTTCAGCATCTGAGCTTCACCATATCTCTGTCCCTGTTCCTGCTGCCTCACCTGCACCTGTGCCATGGGTCTTTTCCCTGTGTTTCTTTTCCAGATCCACCCAATTCCTGGTCCAGATCAGGCCACTCAGCCAAGCCTCCCACAACTGCCACTCCAGACCTGTCTCTCCTTCTGCATCATCACCCAGCTTGGCACCTTATCATTTTCAAACCTCTGGGATTTGGGCTGCTCTTACATAATCCATCAAACTGGGCCCATCAGAGATGCATGTGAAAGGTATGTTTACTAACTGCATAGGCACCAGGGTTTAGGAAAGGACATGCCCGTCTGGTCCAGCTCCCAAGCTCTGGCTGTTGGGCTGGGGGGACTACCATGATCTTGTCTGCAAAGCTCAGCAAATTTTGAGGCTGAAGAGGGTTCATTAAATGCAAAGGACACCAGACACTTCCTCAATGCACTTCTCAGAGCTTTGGGTAGGAAGATTACCTGGGAATGACCAAGACAAGAAAAATGAGATCCTCCCTAGTCCCCTGCCCCCTAAGGGGCACAATGTGAGGAGTGGCTAGCATGGTTGGGGGAAAGAGATAATTTGGTTTTGAATGCCTTCTTACTACTTATCAACTGTGCACACTTAGGCAAGCTGCTTAACCTCTCTGAAGCTCTGTTTCTTTATCTTTCTGGGGCAGATAATTCTTGCCTCCTCCAAAGATGGATTACATGAGATCAAGTATGCCAAGAACTTGACGCAGCCTGGCACAAGTAAGTCCTCTTGTTAAAAATGTTACAATTCTAATTTACATTTAGATTATAATTTTATATTTTTCTCTACTACAACTCTATTTTATTTTCCTACTATCACTCTAAGGTAAAATCCATAAGGAGAGAGAAAGTGCCTTAAGAAAAGGGTCAAACTAGCAAGAGAGAATGGTAAAGATTAAAGAACTTTCTAGGTGAATTGCCCTTCAAGGATAAGAGATCAGAATAGAGTTCTCCTAACTTGTAGCTCAAGGCTGTCTTCTGTTTCCTTGGGATACTAAGCATTTGGGGACCCTTCTTTGGGGATGCTGATCAGAACAGTGCAGACCTCTCTTGGATTGAGGTCATGCTAGAAGGAGGAGTCAGGGCAAGGTGATCCTCTAGCCCTTGCTTGCCTTGGCTGTGCCTGATCCAGTGGGAGGAAGGAGAGAATGGGATAGATTCTTTTCTCTGTTAATGACACAGCAAGCTGCAGGTACAAGACTCCACTTGCTTCTCCATTCACAGATTTCTTTGTTTATTTGGGACTTGCTTTATTTTTATTTTTTTGGCCTGATTCAATCTGCAATACTCACTTCTGGAGTCCTTAGGTTACCTAGTTGCCATGGCAGTG